TTACTTACTCACGCCTGTTACTCATTTTAGAACATAAGCCAACGACCAAGATTCTCCAATCTACTCTGTCCTGTGCAAATATGTCTTATAGTGTCAAATCTTGTTTTTCATGCAGTAAATTGTGTCTTCATAGTTTATATCACTTTCGTTACACAAGTTGCCATAGGTGTGGAAAGGTTGGGCATATACAAGAAGTTTGTAAAAGTTCCAAGATTTTGAACAGGAATCAACTAGGTTAAACAGGAGCTTAGATTTATTGTCAATTAATACCACCTCCAGCGGTACCTTATAATCCATACAGAAGCCAGTTAACAGCACGGACAATTTTCACTTATTTATTATCGATACCAGGAGCATACAGTCAATTATCTCTAACAGAAATCTGTTTTTTCTTTATAATGATGTTCATCTAGAGCCTACCAGTAGTGTAACTACCGGTATCATTAACCATCAGTTACCGATTATCGGTAAAGTGGATATTTGATTTAAAAAATGAGGGGAGTAGTGTCTATGTTTCTTTCCTTGTTAGTGAGTACAGTTCATCTATGATTGGATTAATGGGTCTTGGATTACTGGCCGTTCTTTATGCAATAGTTTTTTTAGTTACTCATTAATCAAAGATCAGCTATGAAAACGCTTGACAGCCATGGGACGTATGAAAATTCAACTTATACATTTCAAGATAAAGGGAAAACCCATCTTCTTGAGGCGTCGACTAATTCCATATGGTTTAAGAGAGGCTGTAAAAAAAGTTAGTTAGACTGGTTGGGAAAAAGATAATGATTTCATTTAGGCTACTCCCATTATAAGTACATTAAAGGCTGATGGAAAAATACCTAGAGTTTGTAGTGACTTCTATCTGACGCTTAGTAACAAAGTTGTACCACTGAAGAGACGGAAGAAATACTACTACAAATTACAATGATCAAAATATCTCTCTAAAGTAGGCCTAAAAGGTTGATATTTACAAACTCCACTGGATGAAGATTCGAGGAAACTAACTATTATAAATACACCATTTGAGCTGTTCAATTACAAGTTCTTACCGTTTGAATGAAACGTTTCACCTGAAATATCCAAGTAATTTATAGATCAGATTATTACTGATCTTGATGGCTTTGAAGATGATATCGTATTCCAGGCTCAAAATACAGTTTCGGTTTAATATGGGGACTCCTCAGCATTGACCATCCACGAAATTATAGGTGATTGAACTCAGAACCTATAGTGAGTTGTGCAACTATTTTTCATTATCTGCAATAGATAATGGATGGACGCTAAAAGTCACAGCTACTACTACGTATTCCAACATTAATAATTTCATTTACACAAAAATGCATGAACTGTTAAGAAGTTACTGAAAAGAAGACCTTTCATTCAGTTCAAATATTTTATTTATTTATTTAAGCACATAAACATTGTTACAAGGAGGCAACAAATATATATGCACCACAAAAAGTAGTTACCATCAGATTTGCGTGGAGTGGGACACTACCCGGGTCAGTCAGTCAGTCAGCTACAACGTAGGACCGGGCACATATATGCATCGGTCCAAGTTGCCATACCTCATTAACACAACAAGATGGACACCGAAGTACGTGGTTCTACTAGAAAATCACTTTCTGAGCCCCTGATTCAGAAGTCTAATTCACAAAGCAGTGAAGCAACATTAGGAGACCCAGTCTCATAGTACATGGTGACCAACAATAGGTTCATATGCCAATCGTTCCCTCAGGATCCTGGAGCCCATGTGTACCACTGGTTTGGAATAAAGGTTTCCCAACTCCCCTAGATAGATTCTCTGTATCCAGAATCCCGGTTAAAGCGTCGGACATTTGCTTTTTATCCTCTTTATTTCGTTAAACAACATTCTCGCCGCGAGAAGGCAGTGAGTAGGACTTTCCTGGCAGTAGCTGTATACGTGTGGCCATGTGAGAGATTTTGGAAAGGGAAAGCGGACTCTCTTCACCCTCAGCTGTACCAGGGCATTTGGAGGCATATATCACTACTGCAACATTACTTCTTCACACAGAGAACAATAAAATACCAAAACTAATCTACTCAAATTATCATGGTGATAAATAATTAGTATTAATGTATATTTATTGTTACTTATTACTGGTATAATTGTCAAAAAGCACTGTGTATACTAACCTGATCGTTTATTCTATAATTATGAACTCTTGTTATATCGAAAGCAGAGGTTAATAAAAGATATTGAATATCAGTAATGTATATCGCGTAACTCCGCCTGCAGCCCCTTTTGTGTTACTGCCGGTCCCAAGCCCAGATAAAGGAGGAGGGTCGGGCATGGGGTTAGCCACCCCATCCCGTTTATTAACAGTTGTCTACACAGAATATTTCGTATCCGTTGCCCAAACACTATCAACAACAACCTATTGTGGGAAAGAACAAACCCAATTCAAGGGGATGAAGAAATCAGGAAGAAGCACTGGAAGTGGATGGGAGACACATTGAGGAAAGCGCCCAGTTGCGTCACAAGGCAAGCCCTCACTTGTAATCCTCAAGGTCAAAGGAGAAGTGATAGAACAAAGAACACATTACGCCGAAAAATTGAGACAGACATGAGAAGAATGAATAACAATTGGATAGAACTAGAAAAGAAGGCCCAAGACAGAGTGGGCTGGAGAATGCTGATCGGTGGCTTATGTTCCATTGGGAGTAAAAGGCATAAGTAATGTATGTTGCATATATATTTATATTAGTCATCACATGGTTAATGAATCATTTTTGACAATTCAACACAGAACATAATTACATATCATGAATTTAAACAATAGTGTCAAAATGATCAATTGCTTCAAATATATGTCAACTATATTTATGCAAATGAAATAAAAAACTAGTCTTACTAATGGTCAGTCAAAGAGATCATGATTAGTTTTAGGAATTGAATAGAATCCAATAGAGAAATAAAGGAATTAATGAGCAGGCTTTATTTGAATGACTTATTTAGACACCCCATAAAACTGGCATTTCCACGTTTAATCAATCATAAACGAACGTCTGATTGGCCAAGCGGTATAAGGTGCCAAACTCAAGAGTGTTATTCTGGGTGTTTTGGTCCACGATGTGAGCGTGGGTTCGAATCCTATCTCCGATGCATATAAGCCCTCAAATGTCCTGGTGCGGAAGACGGTAGGGAGAATCAGCTCTCTCTCCAAATGCTCTCATCTGGCCACGCGTGTATAATCACTGTCAGGGAAGTACTACTCACTGCCTTCTCGCGGTATTACTGTTCTGTACGAAATTGAAAGGAAAGAAAGAGAATGTCCGGCGCTTTAACCGGGTTAGTGGATACGGATCCATCGAGGGGAGTTGGAAAACCCTAATTCCAAACCACTGGTGTACACGGGCTCCAGGATCTTGAGGAAAGCAAAGGCGTATGAACCAATTATCGGTCACCGGTTACCATGTGACTGCATCTTCCGACGTTACTCCATTGCCTTGTGGATCAGACCTTTAGGTCGTATGCTCGGGGTGTGGCCCCCTAATAAAACCACCTGCTTCGTTTCGGGCGCCCGGGCAGTATCCCAACCCTTACACAAATCAAGTGACTTGTGTGGCGCATATATATTCGGTGACTCTTTGTACCAACATTTGTGTTCAAATAAAAATAAAGTGGATATAGAGAAAGCACAAATTTGCAGATGAGGGTTGTTGTTTTGATTAATTATAGTGACAATCAATGAACTGAAATCATTTCCTCCGTAGAATAATAGTAGTGGTCATCAAACATAGAATACGACTATTTATCAGGTTCATATCCGAAAACTCTCGACAATGCAAAAACAAACAATCACTGATTGATCTCAATTTTTGATTTAAGGTCCATCAATAATTTTATAGCTTGATATTATAGAGATATAAGACTGTACATCGGACTGGGCATGTTTGTATAACCCATGTCTTTACAACCTTAGTTGAAGAATTTTTAAAAAGTCATCAAACATACTGCTACACTCAACTTTATCAATTACTTGAAAAATAGTTTCATCATGCGAAAGAAACTGAAATCTTTCATCCAGTATTACGATAACTCATTGTGATACTAATATAAACCTACATTTACCTGTATGAATCAAGCGAACTGTCAATAACTTAACAGCTACATTTACAATTCCAAGGGTAAGTGCTGTATAAAAGTTCAAATTAATTTTCATTGAAGATAATAATTTATTATATCAGCCAATCGTCATCTTTCAGTTCATACTAAAGCGTCAGTCTGTTCTAGTATCATTCCATGATATTCACAGTTATCCAACGACACAAGTTACATATACGTGATCAATATCAGGATATATAACATTTATACAGCTATGAATCACTATCTCTTCAAGAAAAACAAATCTATATTGAAGATTATACCAGTTGCATAAAAATTCTAATCATATCGAGAATATTATAAGTTTACTAACAAATTGTACATCTGTAACCATAGGTATAAATGTTGAAACCAAAAACGACATATTTTAAGGTTTTAGCCCCCCCCAACCCGACCTCAAAAGAAACTGACACAAGTCTCAGCTGGTGGAATTAACACTAACTCTCACTATTATAGGTTAGCAACAAGAGAATATCATTAAAGTGGCAACCCTCGAAAGTTTTTGTAGCCTATTTTACTGGCAATCCTAACAAGTTCTCCTCATTTGTACGGCTTAGATTAGAAAAAGTACACCTTTTTTCAATTTGTTGGTAGGAATTATTGAAAAAAAATAACCTTTCCAACCATTCATCACAATCATACAGAAGAAAAACAGTAAATAAACAACAGTTTATGCTTAAAAAAATTAAATAAGTGAAAAGAAACTATAGAAAATACATAAGTATTACAAAATAGGTTAACAATACTAACGCTGTTTCTCAATGCAAGATGCATCATTAAATTAAGACATGTCGATAGAGTCATTGAAAACTTTACAACTGGAAATCATACTACTTACTAATTATAAGTAGCAAAATGTTTTAACCGATCAATTCTAATTTTTTAAGTAAACTCGATAAATATTCGGATAACCAAAATAAATATCGCCAAGAAAGTAGATCAGTCCACTTGAATGTTGATGGTTCTTTGCATAGATTATTTCTATATGACCAATTTAAGAATTCATTAAAAGAAAATCCTGTAAAATATATTTTAGATGATTTTAATTGTGTAATAATATTTAATGTTTTAGGAAGTAAAGGTTCCACTTGATTAAGTAATTTCATGATGCTTTCATTGGAATTGTATGAAGATTGATAACGATTTAGTTGGATCCAGAATGTAATCAACCGTCTTCTGTAATGGAAAAATTTAGTATGATATTAATAATGCACACTTTATTTAATACTTTCGGCGAGATTACAATTTACGGACGGACCAATCAAATTTAAGATGACAGGTCTTGGATTTTGGCGCGAAATTCACTTGCCCATTCGTTCAAATAGAGCCTTAGCATTTTAGCTGATGTCAGTTTGTGATTAAAAACCGTAAATCTAATTCCTCATCCTAACCATCCACTGTGAATTTTAATCCTTATTCGTCAAACTACTTTATAACCTACATTTAGCGCTAGTAAATAGGTAGAGACCCTCAAGGTCACTTTGACGTCTCTCAAAGGTCGTCCATAAATTATAATCTTACCATACTTTCTATATGTTTGATCGAAGTAAACAGTTCTCATCAATAAATATTTAACAATGTAACAGTATTAACGTTTTTATGAGCATTTTATTAGTGAATGTTAAAACTAGGCCACCACACCCGGAGCCTTCGACTTAAAGGTCTGATCCACAAGGCCGTGGAGCATCGTAAGGAGATGTAATCCCATGGCAGCCGGTGACCAAAGATTGGTTCATACTGAGATTAGATGGTGGTTGGAGGTAGTCAACAGGAAACCCTGCACCCGGGTTTGGTGCTACTTGGCACTCGTCAGCCAGGGAGCACCAGTTCCCTCAAGATTACAGGTACACCTTGCTGACGAGTGCCAAGTAGCACGAAACCCGGGTCCAGGGTTTCCTGTTGACTACCTCCAACCACCATCTCAATCTCAATACATAGTGCCCGCAGTGTCGAGTCACCTAGACTGGTGGCCACATTGCAACATGATCGATAGCATTCGATCTGCACTAATAAGGACTAGACAAGCATGAGATTGATCACCACCCAGTGATCAATCAATTGTGATTGGTTCATACTCCATTTACTCCTTCAGGATACTGAAGCTTATGTGTACCATTGGTTTAGAATCAGGGTTTCCCAACTCCCCTAGATGGACCCTCTGTTTCCACGATCCCGGTTAAAGCGCTGGATATTCGCTTTTCGTCCTCTCAATTTCGTATAGAACAGTAATGCCGCGGGAAGGCAGTGAGTAGTACTTCCCTGACAGTGGCTGTATACGAATGGCCATGTGAGAGCTGATTCTCCCCAACCTCGGCCGTACCAGGGCATTTGAGGGCTTTTCATTAAGATAAGAGATATGATCTACGTATTTCATGGAAGCATGAACATACACGCGATTGCTGAAACACATAATGAATTAAATCAACTAAATGCAAAACAAGGAGACATAATAGAATAATCGGGAATTTTTTTTTAAAATGCTGACTTAAAATGATCACAATGGTCAACCATTATGTTAGAATCTACATACATTACTTCTTTACTTACTCCTGTTACTCCCAATGGAGCATAGGCCGCCGACCGAGGATTTACATACACTAACTAGATATTACAATTATGCACGACAGATTTGCATTGTTGCATGAACAACAAACATTTATTGGATTGTAATAGATCCCTAAGATCAGTTAAAGTTTGTATCATTGACAACCTGAGGATTTCGGGAAGTTGTTTTGTCCCAGTTTCATACACTTCAGAAGTGCACGCTAATGATTTTATCAGGGATGGCAACCAAGGACATTTAAGTTTCATGGCGAGGTAGAAATCTTTAACTTTAATTTATCAATAATATGAACATAATGATAATCCCAATGTTGTTTGACTTTATCTCAAGGTGTCTTTGCATCCACAAAGAGTAAATAATCAATCTCATTAGAATGATGACTTGGAATATTTTATCCCAAGTTGTACAGTAATTTCATTTGTGTAATGAATAAGAATTCATCATTACAGTTGTACGAGTAAGTGATAACTATCCAGCTGAATTTACTGTAAATGACAATCTTTCCCAAAATGCCTATTACAATAGAGGTTGTGACAAAACTACTAATTATGTATTAACTTCATTGAGACTGAACGACTAGTTAATGTTTATGATAGTTTTGATACCACATTTATATCAGATAAAGAAATTATTTTGCACCAAAACTAAGATATGTCCATGAAATTTTTAGAAAGAGTTTGAATTATCCCACTTTTGATGTTCTTAACTGAATTTTAACCAGTTTTCTTAGGGACTTATCAACTGATAAATCTTGAATAGGACAAAACGAGTGCCTTTAATTCTACTACTGATCATAATCTAAGTATTTTAATATACATCATGTCCGTTCTCAAACCAATCATGTACTATCTTTCGATAGCATTTGATTTAAGAATTGTTTCCTACTGTTATGGTCTAATACAGATTATTGAAAAACAAAAGACTAACTAAATTACTAATTTGTAAAGTTTAGATAAAACTTTTTAGTGTGTATGTTATTGAGTCGTCGATAACTATAAACCAAGAACTCTGGGAACGTCAATTATAATTATTTTTAATATATATCCATTAGACAACAGCCTATAAGTGAAAACTTTAATGCTCCATATTCAGATGATGTGGATATTAACATTATAATCGAACAGGTCTTGACAATTAAATTATGGAGAAATATTCAATAAAGAACAGCTGAAAACCAATATGACAATTATCAGTATTCAGTCAGTCAGCTAAAACGTAGGATCAGGTACATATGTGCATCGGTCTAAGTTGTCATACCTCATTAGCACAACAAGATCAACACCGAATTCATAGAAGTAGTTAATTCAACTGTGGTAATATATAAAAGAATTATTGCATATAAAGACAAGTACAGGAAGAAAGAATTAGTTCGTAGAAAGAAAGATATGAAGCGATTTTAATCTCATAGTTTAAGGGAAGACAAAGTGTGTATACACCTACGCCATTGTGATCGATTCTGAACCATGTCACACACAGTCTCCAACCATTGGTTACGATAGTCACACGGACCACAACCAAGTAGTCTGCGTCTACCAACATTGCTAAGACCAGAAGTTAGTGACTTCAAGCACTGATGCCACGTTTTACTTTGGCAGCCCCTTATGTTTAAATATACTAAGATTTTTCTTGTGGTTCCTACTTCCATCGACTCTTGTTATTTGGAATATAATTACGTTCCTGTTTAACCGTGTTCTGGTTTGGGAACTTGTTGAGTGAAGTAGTGTTGAAGATTAATAAGCAGTAAGAGTAGCTGGGGCGTAATGAGAGAAACCATAGCACTCATGGACACTTCATTTCCGATCAAGGTTTGCAAGCTGCTTTAGGTTGACCTCCTGTATATACTAAGCCAGTGTGAACCCCTCTCACTTTGTATAAAGCACTCCCTGTGTATGGAGCCTGTAAGGCTTCCTTGACAGAAATATGTAGGCATATGAAGATATTACGAGGGCGAACTTTCCTTACCCTTGGCCATATCAGAGGATTCGGGAATGGGTAGACCGTAGGCGAATGTTTCGAATGATGGCGGGACATGAATTTTCGAGCAATACATAAAAGCATAGTTCAAATATGAAAGTAAACATTTATGTATGTATAACATACAACTCACCTAAACATCCATACACATTCTCGTTCAGGATAAAGTTCTAGAATGTCATGTACTTTTTCAAAATAACTTTGAATAATCCTTGTTGAGTTTTCTAATAGCAATTTTTGATCATCTAACATTGGAGATAATGCGACAACCATAGATTGACTCACTAATACATCAAGGACACATTCTAAATAACTCCAACCACTTATATCAGTTGGGTGTTTTGCTAACCAAACATTTAAATTATTCAATTCTATCTTATATGTCTATTGAATACAGATAAAAAAAGTAAAAAGAGAGGATAGTTGTCGACTGTGAATCATACTAAATGTACACGACCACTTACAGTGATTTTTACCAGCCCAAGTTGTTATACCCTATTTTGGCACAAGGAGAAAGGAAATTAACAAAAGTATCTGGCTTTCAATCACACTTTAAGTGAGAAGGTTGGTTACTTAAACCAAAATAGGTGGATCGGGGTTAAAACACCAGGCTTAGTGGCTGAAAGTAGAAAGTCTCAAGCACTGAGGCACTCTGCTTCAAATTGACAAGGTAATAATTACACAAAGAGGAGATAAAAAAATTGAACACAGTTGAAAACTAAGCATGACAACTATGTTTCAAAAACGAAACAAATAAGGTTGGAAAAATTATTTATATGTATATCAATTGAACGATAGTGAGAAATACTGTACGATGTTTCTAAACCGAGTATAAATCTACTACACAATAGTTAAAAATCAAGTGTCTTATCCAATCTGTTCTGATGATTTACCGTCCATAAAAAAGAGAGAGAGCAATGATTTTTACAGATTAGATTAATTCTCCATAATGTGAGAGACAGCACAAAAATGTTGAATCGGCTAATCACATAAACAACTAATGTAGGCATTTTCCCATTTTATTTACTTAGTTATGCTTTTTTTCTTTGGTCTCTCATTATAATTTCACCATACGCACTGTATTCTTCCACTTTTGATCTCCTTATTCTACTAATTACCAAATGTTATAACTAAGAACAATTCATTGGTATAAAGTTGTTTTGTTCTCTGAGTACAATAGCTTCTGTTCAATAAGATACAAAAAACTTTTGGTTAAAGCAATTTAATTGTGCACTGAAACTATGTTCAGAGGAGAATATTGAAGAACTATTAATCATAGTTGGAAGATGTTTGTGGGCAAATGTTCCCCTAGTTTTATTAACGATTGTAATTATCAGTATACATTTACATCCCAAATAACTTACATTGGAAGGACAGGAAAGAAGGTTCTTGCATTCGAATCCACAGCTGTTATTACGTAACCTTCGACATACATTTCCATTTTCAAGAAACGTGCCTCTATATGTTTTAAGATCCCTCCCTTAGAATTTTCAAATTTGGTAGCATATAAGCGTTTATTCATCCTAACATTTTGGAATCCCTCCATATTTAATGCCTTCATCCTATTAATCTCCATTAATAGGATATGAAATACGTACTTTGGCTGTAAATAGTTAGTAACATTGTTTATAGGTTGTAATTAAGTGAAATGGAACCATGAAACAAATACATTCAACTTATTCTTTTATGCTTTACATTTCTTTTTCAGTCAAATATATCAATGAGGAAAATGTTATGAAAATATGGGAACCAATTAATTATTGTCATTTAATACACGGTTATGATTGAGTGGCAGACTTAAAACAATACACTTGTGACCAAGAGATGGATTGAAATTGTGGAGCCAGTGGATAAATAAAACTATAACAGTAATTACGAAGGGAAAATAGGAATGAACAATTAACCTCAGGATTTTGTTGATGTAATAGTAAAAACCGACGGTATTGCCATAAACCATAATTACAACGATATTTGTCCGCAAATTTATTACATAACTCCAATTCAGATAATAGAAATTTGTGATCATTTAGATAATTGTAACGGTGAATAATCCATTGACTATTTATTGATAATTATATTAGAAGGATAGGTTGACAGATTAACAGAATTACCGGTGAAATATAGTCTCGTATGAACGAGGATACTTGTTTAGAATCAATTGAGTGAACCTTAGTTCTGGATCCACTGATAATTCGCTGTTTAATAGAGCTTTACGCTTGAAGTTCCAGAAAGTTGTTGTGTTAGGAGATACTAGCAGAAGATAATTCAGCAAATCTAAAAAGAAATCAACAAAACATTTTGACTCATATAAGTCATGTATGAAACGTAGTTGATTTAGAAAATTTTATTTATTTGAACACATAAACATTGTTACAAGGAAGCAGCAAATATATATGCACCACACAAAGTACTTACCATCAAATTTGCTTAAAGTGGGACACTGCTCAGGTACCCAAACCGAAGTACGTGGTTTTACTAGAAGGTCACTTTCTGAGCCCCTGATCCAGAAGTCTAATTCACAAGGCAGTGGAGCAACATTAGGAGACCCAGTTCCATGGTAGACGGTGACCAACAACAGGTTCACATACAATTCATTCCCATATGTACCACTGGTTTGGAATAAAGGTTTTCCAATTCCCTTAGGTAGATCCTTCATATCCAGCAACCTGATTAAAGCGTCGGACATTCGATTTTTTGTCCTCCTTATTTCGTTAAACAACATTCTGGCCGCGAGAAGGCAGTGAGTAGGACTTTGCTGGCAGTAGCTGTATACGCGTGGCCGTGTGAGAGATTTTGGAAAGGGAAAGCGGACTCCCCTATCCTTAGCCGTACCAGGGTATTTGGGGAGTAACTTTAAGAGTGCTAAGTTTCTGGATATTGTGTGAGGAACGCTAAATTCTGACAAAAATATTGACCTAACTGTGGCAGTTTCGGAATACAGACGTACTTCCTTCAATGTTGTGGAAGCAAACTCTAGTTGTTGCCATGATGCCCCCAAAAGTTTTTACTTTAGAGCATACTCTAAATCTCCCTCAATGAGTTAAACTTTTTGACAGTTCACACTTTGAGTTGTGACATATGTCGAATGAAAGCAAAAAACTTTGGGAAAAATAAAGGCAAACCCTAGAAGAAAACTTGGTTTTAATTTAGGTAGCAGTATAACTAATTGTTGCTTATTCACATGCTCTGGAAAAATGTCAAAATACTTCCTTTTAATTATCTCCCATTGAAAGATATGTTTCGAAATTCACTTCTTTATGAGACGACCTATATTATACAAAACTGAATTCTTCATGTCCTATTTTTTCTTTCCAAATTTATTTCACTGGATTTTATTCCTTGAATAACATCTTGAAACCCTAATGTTTCCGATTACTACTTATATTTTTACTACCTCTAACACTATGGGATTTGAATAGACAACTGCATGTCTGTGCTAACGTGGTATGACAACTCGAACTGATGTACGTACGTACGAGGTTCTACTTTGTTAGTGACTGACGGATGATATTTCTATGATCGATGACCATCAAGATAACAATGCTGGCTGATTTCAGACATTTCTGTGGACGCTATTTCTGAGTTATGATAAACGGGAAACACTGAACCTCATTGTCACAAGTTTAGCAGACATGTAACTGTCAAGTTAGTTGTCATTATGTGATGCCCTGGCTTGCTTTAATGTTAGGTACACTGCTACATTAGGTTGTGACAGGTGCATAGTTAGGGATTGTTGTATAAATGTAAGAATGACTTTTCCAAATGGTGAATGTGCTTTGTGAAGTGATGAAAGTTTTCATCGACAGTCAACCCATCCACAATTATGGAAATTTTGACCTTGAATTACTTTCGGTGAACATGGTGCAAATGTTTCCTTTAGACATGACTCACATGGTATGCTTAAACATAGTGAAAAAGTTGGTTAACTTATGATTGAAATGAACTTCTAATCGACCAAAAACTATGATTAAAAAATTCATTACTATAATTGTCACTTCGACTTTGGGGCCTAGCTGATACATTCCTTCAAATATTTAAAAATTTACATCTTGAACGATGTCTTACTCTGAAGAGAAGTAGAATGTAGGTTACGCCTGCCTTGTTTGGGGCCTATAGTGTAAGAAAACAATTTACCCTGACCCCTAGACCCGAATCTTCTTTGTTTAGCTATGCTTTTTTCACTATTGCATCCGAAATTACAAATCAGTTTCACTGATTTGATAGATAGTTTGATAGATTCTCGCATTAAGTATGAAGGGTGTTAAGGCGCTGAACACCTTGTTTATGACACCGACGGTATAAATCTGAATAGGACTTTAGATTCTTCGTCGATCATTGCTTTAGAGTTTTATACGAGGCATAATAAGCACAGTACTTCGTAGATACACGACAGTCAGATAGACTGTTCAGAGCTGTGTAGAAGAAACCCTTTATAGTAGGCTAGAGATCAGTCACTAACACCGGAAACACAGTTACCCATTATTCTAATCAACAGGTTATGTACCAGCAGGGACACTAGGCTTACCTTCTTTAATACCGATGATGTAATATTCAAACACAAACCTGAATTAATTACAAATATTAAAGACAGTAGGCTAGTAAACTTAAGGTATCAAGTTGACCCCAGTATTTTTCCACCAAAACACCGTCTTTAAGTGAAATAGAAACATTTAAACGCTCAGTAATCATTAAATATAGATTTTTGTAACTGACGTAAAATGCAAGTGTATTTCTGTAAACCACTTGAATAGCGAAGTTTTTATTCCCCTACTGTAGTAGGGAAACATATACAGATATATATGTCTTTCTAGGTTAATTGTTAATTTTCATATTATCACATTTGGACTGTGAAATTACGAAATCAAATTATCTCCACATTTTTCTCGCTTTACAACTAAAAACGCCGTAATTATTGCTTCGCTTAGAAAGGTGGTCACTGTTGCATCCAAATGATTAGTGAACGATATCGTATGCTTATGCTAACAATACAGTGTACTTTAACATAACGAGTTGAATCAATCCTAATGTGAATTGGTCTATCATGTGTCTGAGCTCGAACTAATTCAGTCGGTCACCATCAATGTGAAGACTATCACGCATATGTTAATCCAGGTTTCTATGATCCAATGGTGAAGTGAAGTTAACGAGATGTATAGTAAAACAGATTTAATAAAATAGTAATCATGATAAATAAAAATAATAGAATTGATAGCACGGCTCAGAAGGGCGGCAAAAAGATGAATGTCAAGAAATATTGGATAGCTAAGTCGCCAGTCAAATTGAAACCAAGTCTTTTTATAATGTTTTGTCCTCATTATTTGAATTTCTGTTCAGTTGGGTTCATGTCACAACTCAGGCAACCAATACATATATATATGTGACCAACAATTCGAGAAAACTGTTAGTTTTGCAGGTCACCACAACAAAACACACGACTACCAAAACTGTCACGTACCGTCAGAAACAAGTTCCGATGTATTTGATTCGTATTCACCAAAGACGACAGTTGTTGTACACTTACATATCCCAAATGCATCATTACAAATGGACAAAGGTTTATGATCACCTTCATCTATATGAGGTATTATATCGTATTCTGAACTATTTTTCCTGAATAATATCACATTCAAATTACAAACCATGTTTCAATGGCCTTCCGCAAGGAATTAAGGAAGGACTTAAGTTCAAGTAAGTCGAAGGTCATGAGCACGGTTTAAACGTTAAGTCCCTTCGAATGTGCCCGCCCTTTCGTTTCAACGACCTTGAACGGCTTGACTAGAGGCGGTTATTCCGTATTTCAATTGCCGTGGGTTGGTTGGATTGCATGAGTATCAAGTTTTTTTATATATAAGTCATTTTATGCTGCATGAAAAAGCACGAAATGAATACCAAAACCATTAATTTAGCATTCTCTGTTTTGTACTGTACACTGTGGCTCTGTTGTTGCTTTGTAATTTGATCTTTGATCCCAACAACTGTAGTAAAGCTCAACGAAATGTCAAGTCACAGGTAAATCCTAAGTATTTGTAGTATTTCCTTGGGTTATTATTGTTGCAAGGAATAACTTTTTAATAATTAGTCATGTCTGTTTTTAGTGCTTCATGCTCAAGTGACATTTCAGTCGACCTAACCGATGCCTTTCGAAGTACGATACTGAACAAGCGTTTCGTGTTGTGGGATGATTTTGAAAGCGCCTTAAAAGAGTTCCAAAAAGTATGGAATAGTAATTTTATCGCTTCTAAGACTACTTATACTCGTTACATCCACACGGAAAGCAGATTGCTGAAGGATGTCAGGTTCAAATACCTGTTAATAACGTTTAATTGTACGTTTGGTCATAAACGGAAATCGGAGGGTTTGAAGGTGAAGCGAAAATCGTAAGATCTTTAAGTAATATCTTATGTTTAAGGTCTAAATTCCGTAATTGTCAGTCTAAATTCCGTGTAAGACTAGAGGAGCAAGGATATGTCATCAAATCCTACAACATGCTCCACAATCATCCATGGATGGTATGTGATCCATGGACAAGGAGATTATCATCAGAAGAAAAAGAGAACTTGAATCCCGTAATACTTCGCTGTGAGTCAACAGACGAAGTTATCGAAAGTATTAAGGAGAGAACTGGTAAGCGAGTTACTGCCGCCGATGTCAAAGGTATGAAAGCTACACTCTCCACTGGTAAGTGTATATAAATATATTTCAGGTTGTTTTACCCAGAAGCAGGTAATGGATATGCTGAGACAGAAAGGCGAAGTGAGCGAACATTTAGAAAATGGATATGCCACGAGAATATGTTTCAGTAGTTATAACCAAATACAACTGCACAGGAAATATCCAGAAGTTTTGTGCATTGATTCTACGTATAATACTAATAATAAAAAGTGAATATGTTTATCGTTGTATTTTACTATGTAGATATTCGTTATTCCAGTTAGTGGTGACGGATAATTGGGGTCAAGGACGAAGTGTAATGTTTGCGTGGACACGAAGGGAAAAGCGTGCCGATGTGATATGGATTTTAGATAAATTTAAAGAGATAATGGGTAACACAACAATAACAGAAACATTCTTGATGGATTGCGCACGATCTGAAAGCGCGGCTGTCCGTATAACACACGGGCATGCAAACATCATTTTGTGCGCCTTTCATGTAATTCGCGCTTTCCGGAAAAAGGTACACCAATGGTTGCTTACATAAAATTTCCCTTAGACAAATGATAAAATACTAAAAACCTACTTGACTCGATTGGTAACTGCAGAAACGGTCGGAAGGTAATTGTTTAATGTATTTGTTCACTAGATTTAATCAATATTACAGAATAATAAACCGGAGAGACAGAGTGATAGGCCAGTACCTATCATGTTTCTGGATGCCACGTAAAACAATGTGGGCGCGTGCCTTTTACGGCAGTGTTTTAACTTTGGGTAACAACACGAATATTCGTGTTGAGTCACTAAATCGACAGATAAAAAGATATGTACGCAAAACCGACAGGTTGCACAAATGCATGTACAAGGCTCTGAAGTGGAGTTCAATGACTTTCTCTAGGAAAAGCATTGAAAACCAAATAATGAGTGGAAGAACGTACAATTATGATGCTCCACAGCGTCTTATCCCCTTGCTTAACATGTTAACTTAATTTGCAAGATCCAAGGTGTTATACGAACTTTAAAAAATGCGTTTCGTTTACGTGGGATATGAAAGCGGCGACTGGTTGTTTATGGTTGACCGCGGACAACATTACGAAGTGGATGTAATTATTTGTCAATGCAATTGTAGCACGTTTATTATGTGTCGATGTCCGTGCCGTCACATGCTACTTGCCTACGTTAAAAGACGAAGTCTTACAGGTAAGCTATATCAATTATGAAATACTTCTTAGGTATTGTAGCAGATGGAAGTTGAGAAGAAAGTGGACAATTATTACTTAAGAATTCTTAATACCAACTCGTAAACTTGATTTTCTGCTTTATCAGCAATGATTACTCAATAAACTTTTTCATAATTTTAATTTTCATCTTATTCCTACTTTCATGGGAATGAATAGCAATTATGTTCATGTGTAACTGTCTGTAATAATTACGAATGATTAACAGTGATGTGGGAAACAGTTGACATACCTGAATATAAATAATTGAAATGACGTAGGTTATCAATAATGACAAATATATATATATGCAGTTTAAGGTCAAAGGTCATTTGTTTTACAGTCAATAAAACATTAAGAATGGGTGATGTAATAGTGGACTAGAGTTCACAGACAGATAAGTGGTGTGAAAATCTTATAGCTTATAAATGATCCGTGGATTTAAGAACTGAAAACTTGGGTTACGTAATAATTGGTTACAATTTGAAGAGGTCACATCATGCGGTGACAGTTTGAAGAGTATACGACATCCACTATTTTTGTGACTAGTCAATACAAACAACAACTCCAGTGCTTTCATGTCGTTTAAATAAATCTCACATAATATTTAGTCTACAACCGGGAAGGAAGCAGGCCAATGATATGTGGTAATGATTTAGGTGTGAATTTTTGTATGAAAATGCACATTCGTTTGAATGTATCCTACACAAGCATGTTACAACTTATTAGGGGAAGATATTTGATCTGTTGACTGCGGGATCAGATTAAAGAAGTTACATCATCTTGTGATGTTGTCGGATATGATTAGTGCTGAGTACGGTAATATCACATGCTCTCACGTAAATCTTGTGTGTAAAGTCGTAAAATTTGGGGTGTACACAGGGGTTGTATAAAGCATTTTAATGAGTTATTTTCAAAACGACTAACAATTCAGCCTAGAGAGATGTATTATCTGCTTATTTTCGCATCAAATTTTCGGCTGCGTAACATCATGTGCGTCAAACTGACTTGCACTGTGATTGATTATTGAGTGGTAGACTGAAAAATTTCGCCATGGTGGTTTTAAGGCAAGTTTTATGTTCCTAAAGCTGATTATAATGTTTTAATGATATGCGTCGCTAAGTGGGTTTATGATGAATGCATCCACCAATGTAGACCATCTTCAGACAAATGAACTCCTGGAAATGCCACATGTATTCCGGATTTAACAACAACTTTACACGTATCATCTATATTATTCAAGTATACTAAACCAGTCAGATCAGGATTCAGATATGAAGTGATTCGAAGATACATTTTGAAGATTGTTGATATACTGAGAAGCCTTTGATCTAAGCTGGTTAGTAGTTGTAATGAATTTATAACAGAGCAGAGAGCTTTCAGGTAAGGCATGCCCACTGAATAATTGAGATCGGGATCAATGTTGAGGATTTACAGAACTATTTATCATGTGGATTTATTTAACACAACATCCTATTTGGCCACTTAAGTAATATGTGCTTTCATAATGACAAAGTTTGCCAAGCAAACAAAATTTGACACAATAAACAATATTAGCAAAAGCCTTTTTCATGTTGCTTATTGTTGTTTTAACCGCTTTACATGACAACAAGAGTTGTCGTTTTTTCGAAATTTTGAGGCAATTATGTGTCCATCTGGACGAAATCCACACCCACCAATTACACTCGAAAATGATGATACGTTGACGCGGTTGCCTAAAAAAGGGGTATGTCCATCAATAGATCTAACTTTAGTGAAGCACAAAGTATTCAGTCTTCCTCCGCATTTGGCACGTTTGGAAGATCCATGGAATAAACTTTGCACGCACCACACTCTTTCTAGTCTCAGACATACAGTAAGTTAAAAACGTAAATTTTGGTGTATACGAAAGATCGAATATTTCGATCCAGAGGCTCCAAACGATGATCTAGATTTCAGGTTAAAAGCAAACTATGACCAGCATATTCACTGGTGGAAGTCCAACGCTGAGGCTTTGATACAACTAGAAACATTAAATAAAACAAAGTATGATCAAATACGTGTTTTTTCGATGGTGTATGCACTGTTTTAAAATCCGTTTTCTTCAATTTTTAAACGTAATCTCCCGAATTTGAGGGAAATTATGTCAGCTTTGTATAAATTTCAGCTTTTGCTTAATAACTCACCAAAATTAATTCAAATTTTGGGGAAAAATACGATATTGTACGCGATGTTTCGGAAAAAACTGCAATTTCCCCATGATCGGTAAACTGGAAAACAAGCGTGTTGAAGTATATTAAGATTTTATCATAATAAGATGAAAAAGAACTTATCAAAGTGGACTAACACGCAGCTTAGGAGGCTTGTTCTCGTTTATGAACTCTCCATCATGTGGGGTTGCCCTTGGAATTCGATTTTAGCCTCTATGGTTTTGTGCCATACGAAACGTAATACTAATTTGCGCTTTCCTAGACAAGAGATATGGCTTATAGGTTGATCAAATTAGAATGGTAACGTAAAATACTAGTCTTATTCTTCTCGAATTGATACGTGTCAATATTTTTTGATGTTTTTCTCGCAAACCAAAGCGTGCTAAATATTTAGTTAATTTGGCATATGAAAAGCATGTGGACGGCTGTATTTACGATTAAGCTATATAATTCCCTGTATTTAAACATGTAAGTCTCTGTACCGTCTTTTGAAGAAAAAGATTGAGATATACTAAGCGTATAAGGATATCACTGAATGAACTATTGGAACGTTACTTCTAAGATTATAATCCACATCAGAGTTTTTAACCTACAAAATTGTGTTGATAAAGTTTCTTTACGACAAAATCGTTTTGGATATTGACTCA